CTGCATCGCCCGTGCAACTGTGCAGCTGCATCGCCCGTGCAACTGTGCAGCTGCATCGCCCGTGCAACTGTGCAACTGCATCGCCTGTCCAACTGCATCGCCCGTGCAACTGCGCAACTGCATCGCCCATGCAACTGTCCAACTGCATCCCCCGTGCAACTGTCCAACTGCATCGCCCGTGCAACTGCACAGCTGCATCGCCCGTGCAACTGTCCAACTGCATCGCCCGTGCAACTGCGCAGCTGCATCGCCTGTCCAACTGCATCGCCCGTGCAACCGTGCAGCTGCATCGCCCGTGCAACTGCGCAGCTGCATCGCCTGTGCAAAACCCCAGGGCAGGAGTTGGGCACCGAGACGAGAAGGAGTGTCACCTGATCAGATCCATGAAGGCGTCGGCTGTGGGGATGGTCTCGATCCGGCCCTCTCGGCGCAGCCCCTCCTTGGACCCCTTCCCGGGGTGGATGATGGTGACCATGAGGATGCCGATGAAGACCGCGATGACCGTGGTCACCATGTAGTACACGGCCGCCCGCATCCCCATGCGCCCCGTGGCCTTGTTGTCCAGCGACGCCATGCCTGGGGGACAGTCGAAGGTGCGGCCCCTGCATGCCCCACCGCCGGCTCCCCCACCCAGCTGTCCCACCCTCCCCCGTGTCGCTAGGGCGACTGGCATCGTGCCAGACACCCCCCCATCCCCTGCGGTCCGTTCACCTGCACCGCCGCCGTCCTTCTACCCCACCCTGTCTTCCATGGACGCCGCCTCCACCCGCGCCCCCTCCCTCTGCTCCAAGCCGCCCTTTTCCAACCCTCACCCCATCCTCGTTTGTTGCCCTTGGCGGACAGGTGTGGGAATTGGAAAGGACAGAGCTGGGGGCGGGTGGGGACAAGTCCAGGGTGCCATTCACACTCCAGGCTCTCCACGGGACCAGGCTGAGATGTCGGCCTTCTTCTAAGCCCACCCGTCTTTCCTTCACTGGTTTCCCTACTGCATTCCGCTCCCCTCGATTCCTCCTGGGTTTCTCTCGAGAGGTGTCCCTTAATAAACCACCTGCGCAGATATCGCCACCTCAGGCTCTGCTTTTAGGAGACCCAACCTAAGAAACCATTCTTTCACGCCTCCTTCTTCATCCCTGTCCCCAAATCCAAGGATTGGCAAACCGCCACCACGTGCCATATCCAGCCCACTGCCTGTTTGTTGCAAATAAAGTTTTATTGGAACACAACCCGGTTGACCCTTGAACAACACAGGTTTGAACTGCTCAGGTCCACTTACATGTGGATTTTCTTCCACCTCTGCTACCCTGAGACAGCAAGACCAACCCCTCCTCCTCCTACTCAACATGAAGATGACAAGGATGAAGAACTTCATGATGATCCACCTCCACTTAATGAATTGTAAATATATTTTCTCTTTCTTACGATTTTCTTAATAACATTCTTTTCTCCAGCTTGCTTTATTGTGAGCATGCAATGTATAATACACATAGCATACAAAATGCGAGTTAATCTACTGTTCACGTCATTGGTAAGACTTCCAGTCAACAGTAGGCTATCAGTAGTGACATTTTTGGGGAGTCACAAGTTGCACGTGGATTTTCAACTGTGCGGAGGGGAATCAGAAACCCTAACCCCCATTCTTGTTGTTCAAGAGTCAACTTTAGGGCCGGGCGCGGTGGCTCACGCCTGTAATCCTAGCACTCTGGGAGGCCGAGGCGGAAGGATTGTTCAAGGTCAGGAGTTTGAAACCAGCCTGACCCAAGAGCGAGACCCCGTCTCTACTGAAAAAACAGAAAGAAATTAATTGGCCAACTAAAAATCTATATAGAAAAAATTAGCTAGGCATGGTGGCGCATGCCTGTAGTCCCAGCTACTCGGGAGGCTGAGGCAGGAGGATCGCTTGAGCCCAGGAGTCTGAGATTGCTGGGAGCTAGGCTGACGGCACTCACTCTAGCCTGGGCAACAAAGTGAGACTCTGTCT